AACATTTTTGGAATCAGGACGTCGAAATCTACCATTTTTTCAGAATCGCCAATGAATTATGACGATTTTTAGGATTTTTCAAAAAATGGGTTTCGAAACCGAATTTTTCAAAAATGTTGTCCCAGGATCTTAAAGGTATTTTTGACATCAGCACGACGAAATCTGTTTCCCAAAATTTGTTAAGAATTTTTTGATCTCTTTGAAAAGCAAAATTTTTCATGTCAATTTTCGAAATTTTGACATTTTGTTATAGATTTTGACCTCCACAAGTTAGTTTCGGGCTTCGTTTCTTCTGTAGTTCGTACCATTTTTCCAATATTCTCAATTGAAACATAGCAATTTTGCGGATTTAAAAAAATGGTTTCAAGGTGAACATATCAAAAATTTTGCTTCAGGACCTTAAATAATTGAAATCAGCACGATGAAATCTATATCCTTTTTTTTAGATTTTTTTAGCAACTTTTTCAAAAACAAAATTTTCAATATGTTGTCTCTATGAAAATTTCGGCCAATTTTTGACAATTTTCGAAATTTAACCAAAGCCAATTTCTTATAAATTTCGACCTTCAAAAGTTGGTTGGTTTCGCCCTCATTTGTTCGATAGCTCCTATCATTTTTCCAGAATTGCCGATTGAAATATGGCAGTTTTTAGGATTTTTCAAAAAAGCGGGCTTCGAAACCGAAGTTTTCAAAAATGTTGTCCCGGGATCTTAAACATATTTTTGGAATCCGCACGACGAAGTCTGAATCCCAAAATTTTTTGAGAATTTTTTGACCTCTTTCAAAAGCAGAATTTTTCATGTCTGAAAATTGCGGCTAATTTTCGACAATTTTCGAAATTTTGACATTTTGTTATAATTTTGACCTACAGAAGTTAATTTCGGCCTTCATTTCTTCTATAGCTCCTACCATTTTTCCAATATTCTCACTTGAAATATGGCAATTTTTCGGATTAAAAAAATGGTTTCAAGGTGAACATATCAAAGATGTTGCCTCGGAAACTTAAACACGCTATAATTTTGATATCAATACGACGAAAACTATATCCTTTTTTTTTAATTTTTTAGCAACTTAAAAAAAATTCAGTATGTTGTTTCTATGAAAATTTAGGCCAATTTTCGGCAAATTTCGAAATTTAACCAAAGCCATTTGGTTATAGATTTCGACCTCCAGAAGTTGGTTCCGGCCTCATTTGTTCGATGCTCCTACCATTTTTCCAGAATCGCCGATGGAAATATGGCAGTTTTTAGGATTTTTCAAAAAAATGGGTTTCGAAATCGAATTTTTCAAAAATGTTGTCCCGCAATCTTAAAGACATTTTTGGATTCCGCACGACGAACTTTGAATCCCAAAATTTTTTGAGAATTTTTTGAGAACTCTTTCGAAAGCTGAATTTTTAATGTCCGAAAATTTCGGCCAATTTTCGACAATTTTCGAAATTTTGACATTTTGTTAATAGATTTTGACCTTACAGAAATTAATTTCGGGCTTCGTTTCTTCTATAGCTCCTGTTATTTTTCCAATATTTTCAGTTGAAATATGGCAATTTTTCGGATTAAAAAAATGGTTTCAAGGTGAACATATCAAAGATGTTGCTTCGGGACCTTACACACGCTATAATTTTGAACTCAGCACGACGAAATCTATATCTTTTTTTTGGAAATTTTTTAGCAACTTTAAAAAAAAATTCAATGTGTTGTGTCTATGAAAATTTCGTCCAATTTTCGGCAATTTTCGAAATCTAACCAAAGCCATTTTCTTATAGATTTCAACCTCCAAAATTTGTTTTCGGCCTCATTTGTTCGATAGCACCTACCATTTTTCCAGAATCGCTAATTGAAACATGACAATTTTTAGGATTTTTCAAAAAAATGGGTTTCGAAACCGAATTTTTCGAAAATCTTGTTTCGGGATCTTGAACATATTTTTGGAATCAGCACAACGAAGTCTACATCCCCAAATTTTTTGAGAATTTTTTGATAATTTTTTCAAAAGCAGAATTTTTTGTCTGAAAATTGCGGCCAATTTTCGACAATTTTCGAAATTTTGACATTTTGTTATGGATTTTGTCCTACAGAAGTTAGTTTCGGGCTTCATGTCTCCTACCATTTTTCCTATATTCCCGATTGAAGTATGGCAATTTTTCGGATTAAAAAAATGGTTTCAAGGTGAACAGATTAAATATGTTGTTTCGGGACTTTTAAACACGCTATAATTTTGAAATCAGCACGATGAAATCTACATCCTTTTTTTGGGAAATTTTTTAACAACTTTAAAAAAATAATTCAATATGTTGTGTCTGAAAATTTAGGCCAATTTTCGGCAATTTTCGAAATTTAACCAAATCCATTTTCTTACAGATTTCAACTTCGAAAAGTTGGTTTCACTCTCAATTGTTCCATAGTTCCTACCATTTTTCCAGAATCGCCAATTGAAATATGACAGTTTTTATGATTTCTCAAAAAAATGGGTTTGGAAACCGAATTTTTCAAAAATGTTGTCCCTGGATCTTAAAGATATTTTTGGAATCCGCACGACGAAGTCTAAATCCCAAAATTTTTTGAGAATTTTTTCATCTTTTTCTAAAGCAGAATTTTTCATGTCTAAAAATTGCGGCCAATTTTCAACAATTTTGGAAGTTTTGACACTTTGTTATAGATTTTGACGTCCAGAAGTTAGTTTCGAGTTTCATTTCTTCTATAGCTCCCACCATTTTTCCAATATTCCCAATTGAAATATGGCAATTTTTCGGATTAAAAAAAATGGTTTTAAAGTGAACATATCAAAGATGTTGTGTTAAACACGCTATAATTTTGAAATCAGCAGGATGAAATCTATATCCTTTTTTTTTTGGAAATTTCTTAGCGACTTAAAAAAAAATTACAATGTTGTGTCTATGAAAATTTTGGCCAATTTTTGACAGTTTTCCAAATTTAACCAAAGACATTTTCTTATAGATTTCGACCTCTAGAAGTTAGTTTCGGCTTAATTTCTTCAATAGCTCCTACCATTTTTCCAGAATCGCTAATTGAAGTATCACAATTTTTAGGATTTTTCAAAAAAATGGGTTTCAAAACCGGTATCTTAAACATATTTTTGGAATCAGCATGACGTAGTCTGTATCCCAAAATTATTTGGGAATTTTTTGATAATTTTCAAAAGCAGAATTTTTCATGTCTGAAAATTGCGGCCAATTTTCGACAATTTTCGAAATTTTGACACTTTGTTATAGATTTTAACTTGCAGCAGTTAGTTCTGGGCTTCATTTCTTCTATAGCTCCTTCCATTTTTCCAATATTCCCAATTGAAATATGGCAATTTTTCGGATTAAAAAAAAAATGGTTTCAAAGTGAACATATTAAAGATGTTGCTTCGGGACCTTAAACACGCTGTAATTTTGAAATCAGCGCAACGAAATTATATCTTTTTTTCTGGAAATTTTTTAGTAACTTTAAAAAATAATCAGTGTATTGTGTATATGAAAATTTCGGCCAATCTTCGCCAATTTTCGAAATTTAACTAAAGCAATTTTCTTCTAGATTTCGAACTCCAGAAGTTGGTTTCGGCTTCATTTGTTCGATATCTCCTACCATTTTTTCAGAATCGCCAATTGAATTATGAGAATTTTTAGGATTTTTCAAAAAATGTGTTTCGAAACCGAATTTTTCAAAACTGTTATCCCGGGATCTTACAGATATATTTGGAATCAGCACGACGAAATCTGTATCCCAAAATTTTTTGAGAATTTTTTCATCTCTTTCAAAAGCAGAACTTTTCATGTCTGAAAATTGCGGCTAATTTTCGACAATTTTTGAAATTTTGTTATAGATTTTGACCTACATAAGTTAGTTTCGGCCTTCATTTCTTCTTGGCTCCTACAATTTTTACAATATTCTCTATTCAAATATGGTAATTTTTCAGATTAAAAAAATGGTTTCAAGGTGAACATATCAAAGATGGTGCTCCGCGACCTTAAACACGCTATAATTTGAAATTAGCACGACGAAATCTATTTCCCAGATTTTTGGGAAACTTTTCAGGAACTTTTCAAAAGCCAATTTTTTCAAAATCCGTCGTTCCTTAGTTTCGGCTGTTTTTCTTCTATAGCTCGTACCATTTTTTTACAATCGCCCGGAAATAGTGCAATGAACATCCCAGAATTGTTTGGGAATTTTTTAACAAACTTTTCAAAAGCAAAATTTTTCGACAATTTTTAATTTTCCAAAATTAAAGCGTTGAAGTGTACAATTTTTTTTATTTTCATAGTTTTCATTGAAAAAAAAATTACATAGTTCCTTTAATTTAATATTTATGAACGAACTTATTTCATGACAAAATTCATTACGTTTAGGCTTTTGTGTTTAAATAAATTTTGATCTTTGGCGAATGCAATCAATGATTTTAATTCTTTTTTGACCTTTTGTGGAAGTTATCAGTAATTTTTGAAACGAAAATTTGACTTCAAATCGGGAAAAAAGATATTTATCAGTTTTTTAGTTAAGCCTTATATATATTTTTTAAGACAGAATTATCTGTCAGTTTTTTTGGATCCTCTATACGCAGTTACAATAGAGGCACCTCAGAGATTTTTTTAAGTGACGTCATAAATTTTTTGGAAGTGGATGCGTTAACAGATTAATCGTTTAACCATTTCTGTATCACGTTCGCTATATTTGAAGATTATCCATCCAATGAAAACGCCAAACATTGTAATGTCACTTTTTGATTTTATTTTTGCCGTTAGCACATCATTGTGGAAAAAAACAACGCCAACTTCGATCCCGTCATCACTTTTCGAAACTCCCCAAACTGCCTCCACACCAATAAAAACATCAGTTACGACCCATCTATTTTAATTTCCACTTTATTAAAAATCCAATCTGAGTTCATCGCTTCCAATCGCGTTCCCATCGACACCACGTGATTTATAAATACCCGATACCCATTACCTCACTTATTAATACCCGCACGGTTTACTTAACCTCTTCTCTTCCTTCCAGGACGACCAACATCCGACCCGCCGACAATGAGGAATCCGAAAAGCCCGACGTACAATCTCCGGATTTACTAGGTGAGTTTGGTAATTAATCGCTTAGAAATCTTTGGCTTCGCAACAAAAAGTCGTACGAGAGCTTTCCGCTGAGACAGCCTGTATGAAGTCGCCAGTGCCGTTCGTGTCCGGTGGCAACAATTTCGCCAACTTGCTCCAAATTGAAAATTTCGAAGACTAATAAATTTAAAACTTCCGAAGTCCGAACACACAATCTCGCGGTTTGGCAATTAGTCGCTTTTTTCGTAAATCAGCCGGATCAAACGGATGCTTTCGTTTTACGGCTCTTGGCAATTTGGCCGGGTGCCACGTTGCTAGCAGGAATTTCGGAGGAAGGGTCGGACACCCTCTTTGACATACATTATGTGGGTTAAAACGAAAAGTGGGAGGTCGACGACCCCGGCCTCCCCCTTTATGATTTTAATTACAAATAATGAAATTTATGGAGGTGCACGGACGCTTTTTTAGAGCGACACGGTACATTTGCATCTTGGTGTTGGAGGTAGTTATGGGGATAATGGGGTGTGGAAGTGGAATCGACCGCGACTTGAAAAAATTTAACGATTTTAGAGTGATGTGGGGTTGAAATCGGCCATTCGGTTTTGCATTGACCGATGTTTGATTTCTGTTTCTGAATTTCGAAGTTCTGATGATAAATTTTCAAAATATATCTTTGGGTTGTGTAATTTACAAAAATTGGTGAAAAAACCGAGAATACATAATTTTTTTGGTGTATAAATTATGCGTAATTTTTCAAAAAATTAAAAAAATTAAAAAATGAGAATTTTGAAATTCGCAGGACTTCAAAAATTCCAAATTATTTAGTGGTCTTAACTTTGTAACGAATTAATTTAAAAATTGTGAAAACAAATACGAAACAAGATGAGAGAATTTTGAAATTCGCAAGATCTCAAAAATTTTAAAATTTTGAGAATGTATTGTACACTCGATTTTGAATTGCTTCTTTAAGTTTGAAAGGGAAATATGTACAATGTCAAAAAATTTGAAACATCAACATTTTTGCTTTGAAAAGAAAATCAAAATCGACCAAAGAACTTCAAAATTTCGAAGTGTTTTTCTCAAAAAATGTCGATTGATTTTGGAAAATACTTTTTAGCCTTTGGTTGTATATACATAAAATAATTTCGTAAATACCAAAATCTAGACTTGCTAATAAAATAACTAACATTTTATATCTTAAGATATCCTAAATACTTGTAAATTTTAATTTTAGAATTTTTACGATCAAATTTCGAAAATTGATTAAAATACTGGGAATTTTGACTTTGTAACGCATTGATGTATCTATAAATTTAAAAATTGTAAAGTGACACATACAAAACGTCAAAAAATTTGGAGGTCCAAAATAAAAATTGAATTCGAAGAACTTCAAGATTTCGAAGTGTTTTTCGATCGATTTTGAAAAATGATTCTTGGCTTTTAATGTACAAAAAGGTCCAAAATATTATAGCGATAATGTGATAATTATACTACATACTTTAATTTTTTTGGTATTGTAAATTTTTGTTTTACGAATTTTATCATCAAATTTCAAAAATTGAAAAAAACATTGAAAATGTTGACTTAGTAGCGTATTGATGTATCTTATTATTCTAGAAAATGTGAAAAGTAAAGAATGTCTAAAAGATGACAGAATTTTGAAATTTGTAGGTCCAAAATTTTTTTTAAATTTTCAGAACCCATTGTACACTCGATTTTGTTCTACTTCTTAAAACTTGAAATCTTAAATGAATCTTAAATAGAACGTCAAAAAATTTCGAAGTTTTTTTTTTCTCGAAAAATGTGGATAGATTTTGGAAAATATTTTTTAGGTTTTTGATGTACATACATGAAATAATTTCGTAAATTCCAAAATTTAGACCTGCTCATAAAATAACTAAAATTTTATAGCTAAGATGTTCAAAATATTTAGCGAAAATACGGTAATATTTTGATTTTTACTCAAATCAACATATTTTAATCAAATTTCAAAAATTTAAAATAGCACCCAAAATTTGACTCGGTAACGCATTGATGTATCTATTAATTTAAAAATTGTTAAGTGATAATGATTACTACAAAATGAACAATTTTTGAGATTGCTGGGACCTCAAAAATTTTTGAAATTTTACGAATGTATTGTACACTTGATGTTGTTCTACTTTTAATTTTGAAGTGTTTAATTAATAACAAATCGAAAATTTTGAAAAAGCAACATTTTCTCTTAAAAAAAATCAAAATTAGTCGAAGAACTTCAAGATTTTGAAGTGTTTTTATCAAAAAATGTCAACAGATTTTGGAAAATTATTTTTGGCTCTTGATGTACATACATAAAGTAAATTTGTAAATTCCAAAATTTAACAAAAATTTTATATCTGAAAATGACCTAAAATTTTAAAATTTCGAGAATGTATTATACACTTGATTTTGTTCTACTTCTTTAAAATTGAAATGTTAAATTAATGACGAACAGACAAAACCTCAAAAAATTTGAAGGTTCAAAATTTAAAAAAAAATCAAAATTGAATTCGAAGAACTTCAAAATTTCGAATTGTTTTTCTCAAAAAAATCGATCGATCTTGAAAAATTAATCTTGGCTTTTAATGTACAAAAATGTCCAAAATATTATAGCGATAATGTCATATCTATAATACGTACTTTGATTTTTTTTTGTATTGTAAATTTTAGTTTTAGGATTTTTACACTCGATTTTGTTCTACTTCTTAAAATTTTAAATCTTGATTGACAAATAGAACGTTAAAAAATTTCAAACATTTTCTTAAAAAAAATCAACATGGATCGAAAAACTTTAAAATTCCGAAGTGAAAAAAAATGATAGATTTCAGTGGGTTTTGACTCTTGATGTACAGATATATAATAATTTTGTAGGTTCCAAAATTTCGAGTTTGTAATAAGTGAACTAAAATTTTACAATATTTGCAACCAAATTTCGGAAATTGAAAAAATACTGAAAATTTTAACTTTTTATGGCAATCATTCGGAATTACAAGATATTAGAGAATTTTGAAATTCGTATTTTAAATTTTTAGAATTTGTTTTCTTAAAAACTTGTTTATTTAAAAAAAATATGAACCTTTCTTTTGAAGAAGTTTAAAATGTTATACTTGAAAAATGTTGAAAACTATTAGAAAATAATTCTTGATATACAATACATTAAATAATCTGGAAATTTCAAAATTTAGACGTGCTAATAAATGACCTAAAATTTTAGATAAAAAAATGTCCAAATGGCGAAAATGTGATAAGTACGATGCGTTAATTATTTCTAATGTTTATTTTAATTTTACTTTTTTGACGATTTCGAAAATTGAAAATTTTAACTTTCTAACGCTTTAATGTACCTAGTAATGTACAAATTGGGAAGTGATAAGAATTACTAAAAGATGAGAATTTTGAAGCCGTGGGACCTCAAAAAACTTTAAATTTTCAGAATATGTTGTACATTTATATTTATTCTGCTTCTTTGAATTTGAAATGTTAAATTAATAACAAATAAAACGTCAAGAAATTTGAAAATGCAAAATTTTCTCGTTTAAAAAATTAAAATTGACTTCGAAGAACTTTAAAATCCGAAGCGTTTTTTCCAAAAATATTTGATTTAATTTTGAAAGATAATTTTTGACGCTTAATGCACCTACATAAAATAATTTTGGAGATTTGAAAATTTAGACCTAATAAAAGAACTAAAATTTTATATCTAAAATGTGAGAATTATATTTCTTTTTTTTACTCTAAATTTAAATTTTTACAATTTTTCAAACAAATTTCGAAAATTGAAAGAAAAACTGAAAATTTTGACTTTTTAACGCTCTAAATTGTATATTAATTTACAAACTGTGAAGTTATAAAAATTATTAAAAGAAATTAGTGTTCCAGAAGCTGAAATTAAAACAATTTTCAATGCTAATTTTCCTTTTGTATGCATCTTCAAAAATCGGGTGTGGAGTTGAAATCATCAGGATGGCTGTGGCGGAGTGTTACAACCTAACCTCACTTTTTTATTTTATTATGATAAAGTTAACACATTTCAGTAACTGTCAGATGTGAATTTTATTAACATGGGCTAATAAAACATATACGTGTTGCACATGTATGTTGTCTTCTTCTGTCAAAAAAGCAAAGCCACCTTGATGAGTTTTTTAATTGAACATCCGGTGCATGCGTATTTTTAACATTGGAAAAGCGAGTTTAAAATGCGGACGATTTCATCGTGAGAAAAATTTTACCAAACTTGAAAAGTTGTAAAAAAAGGTAACGATCTAAAACTTTAAATTTTGACCCTTTTTCTCCTCTTTATTCCCCCTCCACACAACCACCAACCTACTAATACCACAACCCAAATCTACGTCACGTTTCAAAAACAACTCTCTCTCCGGATCGAACGGGGTGTGTGCCGCCAGGAGCAGAGCGGCAGCGGCAGCACGGCCGCCCCTCCGACGCACGTGTCCGCCGTATCGGCCCGCGCCGATCTCTAACCGCCCCGGAGAGCAACAAAGGGCGGCTGGCAGCAGGAGCGGCAACGGCAATCCTCCGTAATAATCCGGAATCACGTTTACATACAAATCAAAATCGGAAAGGGAGGAAAGGGGGAAGAAAAATTGCAGTCGGCGGTAGAGGTGGGCGCGTTACTCCCGTCGTCGCGAGGGCGATTACGTTACTATGTCGCGCTGGGGCGGGGCGCGGGGAGGGGGCTTTGTTTTTTAATTAATTTCGCTCGAGCGGCGCCCGTATCAATGGGCGAAGGGAGGGGGTGGGAATGGAGGTCTGGGCTTTCATGGGGTTCGTGTTCGAAAGCTGCAGGAGCGTAATCGGAGGTTTTGTTGTTTTCCAGAGCGTGAGCTAAAATGGAGAATAAAATTAAGTTAACGTAGAATCGAATGATGAAGAAAAATCAAGTTGAAAATAAAATTTAGCGCTTAGCCGCTAGTTTCCAGACTTCCTTGATGTTTTCGTTGCACTCACTTTACATGCAACCACCAAAATCCCAACTCCTGAAACTCCA